CACTATGACACAAAGTGATTTCTTTTAAAGAGTCTTCCCCTGTGAAGTGCTTCTCAGATCTGCCTCCTCCCTGTTCCCTTTTCATGAGCAAACCAGGGCACAGCCCAGGAGAAATGAGAGCTGGGGCGGGACAGGGGGCTGAGGGTAGGGGGAGGCTGGCGATTAAGTCTCAGCTCTCTAATCCAAAGCGCTTTTCAGAAATGGCGCATTTGAGGGTTAAAAGCCACAGATGTGTGTGTGTGTGTGTGTGTGTGTGCGCATCTCTGTGTGTCTCTGTGTGTACGCTTCACTCTCAGGGACAGGGTGGCAACACAGAATAATTGGGTGTAACTAAATGAGAGACCAGAGTGAAGGCATGAGCTGGGTGCCTCGGTTTCCCCATGTAGACATGGCAGCCTGTTCTATCCAATCCTCCACCAGAAGTAGGTTGCAGTTATGTGAGATCACAAATATGAAAGTGCTCTCAGCGCTTTCAAAGACATGCTATACATGCTAAGGGATGATTAGGATAATTACCACTATTATTATATCATCATGGCCATTCATTCTCATTACCATGCCTCTTAGTGCCTGAGATTCTTCACCTGGGGTAATCTCATTTACTTGCCAGGTCCATAGAGGTCCTCACCATGCCAGGCTCCAACCAGAAACATCAACAGTGTACTCACTCCTTCTCCTTCCCAGAAAGAATATCAACAGAGCTCCCTCCTGGGCCCAGGGAGCAGAAAATCCCCCACTGGATGCCTCAGACTCCATGCTGCTGGCAGAAGAGGACCCAGCCACCTACCAACACCAGCACTTGTGCTGTGAGGGGACAGAGGGCCAAGTGGAAGTTCCCTTCCCTCACTAGAGAGTGAGGCAGGTGAGAGGCCTGGGGACAGTCCCTGCTGTCCTCTCCCATACCCAGCCTTCCAATTTCTCTTTAAAAAGCCTTGCTCACTGCTCTGGGGACAGGGCAAGGCTGCATCAAGCAGGTGGGACTCCAAAATATCAAGTGGGGCCAGGCCGAGCATGGCTCAGTGGTTGAGAGTTGGCCTAGGATCCAGGCGATCGAGGTTCGGTTCCCAGTCAGGGCACATGCCTGGGTTGTGGGCTCGATCCCCGGTCAGGGGTGTGCGGGAGGTGGCTGATCGGTGACTCTCTCATCATTGATGTTTCTGTCTCTCTCTCCCTCTTCCTTCCTCTCTCTGAAATCAATAAAGATATATTAAATATATATATTAAGTGGGGCAGGTCCCCATGGACCCCCATGCTCCCCCTTCCCTGATCCTGGCCCCGCTTCCTTTGCACAAAACACTTCCTTGCTTTCAGCAAGGAGTGTCTGGGAACTTATGAAGGAAAAGTCCTTTCAAAAAAGTGAAAGGGAGGAAGGGGAGTGGGGTCAAAGCATGTCCTCTCCTGATGCCAAATCAGCGCATCTCAGAGGCAGGTGGACGAATGGGTCAGCCTGGTAGCTCCCAGTTCCCCTCTTGAGGCAGGGTGGGTCTCAGCACTTACCTAGGGGAGAGAGCTTGCCACCACCTTCCAGAGTCCTTGCCCTCCTCTCTGAAAAGGACAGTATTGAGCCCACCAGAATTCTTGGGGACTGGAGAGAGAAGATATGGGGGTTCTGAGGACTACAGTTTTCCTTGGTGTCCTCCAGCTTCCTGGAATAGACAGACAGACAGATAGGCAAAGAGTACAATAATCCAGCAAGCTCTTCCCCTATGTGAATTCTCTCTCCACCGCATCAGCACCGGCTCCACCCTCCCCAGAAGGCACCTGCTCACAGCACTGAATGTCCCCTGTCCACTGAGACTCCCACAGTCTGCCATTGGAGAAAACTGTACCCAGGACCCTCACTGGGCTCTTTCTCTAGCTCCCACCCACTCCCCCAGGGAGAAACTTTCAGATAATTTTCTGACTATTAATAACATTTGCTCTTTATGGAGCTTACCAAATCACAGATCCTTGATTAGCAGACCTGGACCAGGGAAGTCTGGGGAGTTTGGGAAGCCTGCCCACTGGAAAGTGAGCCATTGGATCTCCAGGGACTGCTGTGGGGCCGCCACCTCCTGTGGAGCTCTGTGAGGGGAGAGCAGGCCCATGTCCATTGTCTGTACCTGGGAGCAAGGCGGTGTCTCTGGCTCCCTTCTGTTCCCCTTTTGGAACTAGAGTTGGCACTGATGAGCCAGAAGGCATCCCCCTAGTCCTGGCCAAGAGAGCCCACCTGGAACATTCATCTGACTCCGCAGACCCACCCAGCATTTTTTGAAACCAAAAGTTGTGGCTTTAACTCTCCTTCTCCACGCAAGCACCCCTTGCCTTCTCTCTTTAAGTGAACATAACAAGCAAAGAAATGTGACACTGGAACCGACAGGAGCCATCGTTTGGAAGCTGTCAGACTTGATGTCTTGGAGACATGAGATCCAACGGCCATCCCCAAGATATTTAATAAAGTAAAGCCCTCAGGATCAAGAGGCAGCCATTCCTCCCGGCCCTCCTAGCGCCGCTCTGGAGTTCTTTAAAGCCGGCCCCGCGTCTGTCTCTCTCCAGAAAGCCTTTCATGCCGCCTCGCCAGACTGACATTTTGACAAGTTGCCACGAGTGACATCTGATTTGTACAAATTTCAAGACTAATAAATCTACCTGTCAAAGCGGAAACTTTAAAAGGAGCTAAGCCCAGCGGGTATAGTTTAACAGAACTCAAGTTGATGAAACTGTAGGATGGAGAAATTATATCTGTCACAATCCACCCACATTAGTTCTGCAGAAACGTTGGCAACTGAAACAAACGTCTTTCACGGGCGTTACCGGAAAAAAAAATGTTTAATTAAAAAAATTTTTTTAATCGAAAAAGGAGATTGTTAATACCCCGAGTAACAAGTAACAGTTCTATTTGTAAACTAACAAATTTGATGTATTTAATTGCTAATGTTGCTGCAGATGTGAGAAGTGTCTCTCCTCCTACCTCTTAGGCTGTCTCGCTGGAATCTGGACTTCCCATTCAAGCTGGAGCCCATCAATCACACAGCGGTGCCCCTGCTCCAGGGTGAATGGGGCCGAGCGCAGCAGGCAGGGCTGATGCAGGACCACAGCCCACAGCCCTGCCTCCTGCTCAGGCCTCTGGGTGCTCTGCTCCTGGAGCTGAATCACTTCCCCTGCTGCCCCCACCTTGACCTGGAGCCTGAGTTCTGGCCCCCATTCTGAGCTCTGCTGTGGGATTTTTGTTTTAAGGAGGTCAATGTTGGGGCAGGAGAGGGCACTAAGGTGAAAGAAACCTTTTAAGTGTGGCTACTTTTTTATGTCATTTCTATCTTCTCCTTCCTGCCTGCCTCTGACACTTTCACTCCTGCCTTGCATCATCATGTTAGCAATGGAGAAGCCAGAATTCACAGATCAGAGAAAGAAATCAGGGGAAGGGGCAGCCTCCTAGGGATTCCCATATAGCTAGGAGATCCAAGACCAGTAAGAGGCTGAAACAGAACTGCTGTTGTATGCTCTGTCCTTCCCTGACCTTCACCAACCCCCAAAGTCAGAAAGGAGAATGAACTGCTCCCTGCTCCTACAAGTGGCTTCCCGTTGCCCTGAGAGCTGAGTTGTTTTCTGCTCAATGGCAGCCTCCACCAGCCATAGCTTCCATATAATCGTTATTACTAGTGCCTTTCCTCCTGGGAGTTCAAAATGGGATCTCCTTGGCCCTCTGGCTCATATGCTTAAGAAGCAAGTGGGCAGGACAGAGAGCGTAACATTGTTCTCATGATCAGCTAGAGAGGGGGCTGAGGTCACCCAGCAAGTCGGAGGCCAGATCCAGCACTTTAGGGTGGGGCCAGGGCCCAGCTAGTAGCCCAGGTGGTCCTTCCCCACCTCCATAGATGGACTGCTTTGTCCCTCCAGCTCCCTACCTTCTGCTTAGTATTGATGTGGCTGGGACACTATTGATATGGCTGGGATACTATCTACAAGCTAACACCTTCCTTTATATTTCTAGGAGCTTGATGTGTGAGAGTGGCGATAATATAGCTAATGATGCTAAACTGAGAACAGTGAGGCTGGATCAAGATGGGTGGGGGGGCAATTGGGGATGTGACAATTTGGGGTGAGCCTAGAGACCCTGGTGTGGCATAAACTGGGGTTGCCCCATGTTCTGCCCAGTTCAATATTTTTCCCTGTCGATTAGCTGTTTCTTTAGCAGAGTCCACGTGCAAGGTGTTCCGCTCTATACCATGTGAGTTACAGAGAAGCACAAAACATGAGCTTGTCCCACAGGAGTTCACAGTCCACTTAGGGTGATGTAAACAAGAAGACACAGAACATAATAGATCCTGATCCGGAACACAGTGAGTTCAAGTACGAAAAGGAAGTGTGGGATGTGATGGAGGCACCAGCCCCAGCCCCGCCACTGACTGGCTATGCACCTGTAAGAACGTCCCCTCTGTAAAAGGAGACAATGACCATATGATGTGGAGGTCCCTGCATTTTCTGGAGGTGTCTGAGAAGAGGCATCAGGATATTATCTCTGTGAAAGCTCTTTATATGCTGTACACTGTTAGACACCTTCTGGTGGCAGTTGTCACTGGGGGCTGGACAAACAGGCCTGTCCTCACAGAGGTATCAGGCCATGATCCAGCAGGAACACAGCTGATGAAGGAATAAATGAACAAGCAAAGAAAGAAAGAAGCGGGGCCTCCCAGGAGAGACGGGATTTAGTCACACTCTGCTCCCCTCTGCCCACAGCACCCACAGCCTGAGTTACCTTCCCCAACCTGTCACGGCCCTAAGCTCTGGGGCCTCACCCTTCCTGGTTAGATGCAGGCAAGGCTGGCAGACCAGCCCGAGGAGGTGAGAACAGTAACAGCAACTCAAAGGGAAGCACCAACATTGCTTTTCCCAGACAGGGTGGTGGCAGAGCCATAAATAAGAACTGGGACATAATGTGATGGGACCCCAGGTCACGGAGCTCCTCCCTCCCAGTCACAGCCTGAGGCATTGCCAGGCTTACCAAGCTCAGAAGACACAGGACTCAGAGAGGCAGGCAGGTGAGTCAAGCCTTACAGGTAGGTGCCTAGGGGAAAAAGAGGGAAAGGGAGATAATTCTACTGAAATTTGATAAGCCGACCGTGTGTTATACATACCAAAGACAGCTAATGCTCCCGTATCATCAACTTGCATTATCTAACACGAATTAGCCCTCAACTTATTTGATTCAAGTATTTGCATTTAATCAGAGAAAACCTTTAGAGATGGTTATTGGGAAAGCAAAGCACAGAGAGGTTTGGTGTCTTGTGTGCGGTCACACAGCAAGCCAGCAGCAGATTTAGAAACTGCTGGGTTGAGTTTTCTTCTGAGACAGTTGCTGTTTTCCTTTTCCCTCAGCAAGATGATCCCCCCAGGGAAGGGCTCAGCTATGCCAAATGTGACTAATAAAAAAAAATTGTTTAAAGAGTTTTTTCTAGAATAAACATTTCACTTTATATTTTATTGGATTAGTGTTTGCTAACCTCCAAAGTTTCTCGCCTAGCAAATTGGAGACCGTTTCCCTTATATAATGAGGTGAGTCAAGTCTTATGAAAGGCAGGCACGTTTCGAGGCATAGGTGCCAGCCCAAAGCAGGCCCAGAGGGCTGAGGCCCAGTCTGGGAGCTGCAGGCCCAAGGGGCTGCCTTCCCTGAAAATGGAAACAGGGTGCTTTGCCCCCAGACACCATCAGTCCCCGGTGCAATTCTATAGCCCATTGCCTCCTATCTGGGGTCCATTACCCACACGGCAGGAGGAACTTCAATGTGAAAGGAGAACGAAGGCCCATCTCTTTCTACTGCCTCCAGGCAGCATTTTGGATCTTGCGACCATAAAGAAAAGAAAAGAAAAAGAAAAAATCTTGAACTGTTTTTCAAATGTTCTGGGTCTTGGCAAACCCCAAAATGCCTTTTGCCAAAATGCTTTTTCCCTTAATTTTTAAACCTCGGGTGTATTTCCAGAACAATCCAATCCATCTGCTTCTGATTCATTTACACTTAACTCATTAGGAGGCTGTTGCGTAAGGAGCAGTTTGACGTCCCCAAGATCCCCGAGTGAAGGATTCTGCTTCCCCCTTTTGAATCAGAGGGAGGCAACTTGCCAGCTGGGCATGAAACATAAACCCAAAAAAAAAACCAAAAAAAAAACACGGAAAGCCTGGCTTGCAACCCCAAGTCTCAGGATGAGAATGGGTTTCTCTGGTGCCCCACCCATCATTCATCCTCAGGTTATCTCCATTATTGCTGTAATTGTCATTAAGGACACAACAAATGACACATCATTGTAAAAGACTTTAACAATATGATACTGTACATTGTATTCCACAGCGTGCCATTCCTCATTCATACACTCTGGACTCATCTGCTCAGACTTTAAATAAGCACTCCCAACCAACTGTGAACCACCAGCAGGGCCTGGGGTTGGGCATCAGAGACAGGGCTTACATCAAAGTGCCAACCCCATCCCAACTTGCCTTCTGCAAGGGCTCTGAGCTCTACCAGGAAGCCCAAGAGAGGAGATGTGGACAGAGAGCAGCCTCTAAGGGCAGAAAGCAAGGCTGAAAGTGAAGAGGGCCCAAAGGAAGCATAAAGAAAGAGACTGCTGGTTTCCAGGGACAGAAATGACTGGCCAACCTCAGACTCAGCTTCTGCTGTGTCACAGGAATCCCTTTCTTTACTGGAAAAGAGGTTCTTCTCTCCCACCTTCCATTCTCACTACCACCTTTATTCAACAAAATTAATAAAAGTGCATTGAGCGCCTTCTGTATGCTCAGCCCTGCCCTATACTGATAACCACAGGGACAGAAGAGATTATGAAGTGGACTTCCCTTAAGGATTTGCAGCCCATCTGGGGAAACATTTTGTTTCTCATGAGTGTGTATCATTAGCAAGACAGCTTTTGGCTAAACGAGCAAGGCACAAAGAGTGTAAGGGTTGTGGACCGCAGAAAGAGATCTCATGAGCTGGACCGGTCAAGGACAACTTCCCGCAGGAAGCGGGCTTCAGAGGAGCCAGCCTGGAAGATCAGTGCTTGGCTAGATGGAGACGAAGAGGAATTCAGTATTCCTGGAGGAAGAAACAGGGATGCAGGCTCCTTGACAGGCAAGAAAAGGGCATGTTGTGGGGAAATAATAGCAGCCATGTTGAGAAACAGAGGCAAAGAAATAAAAATGTTGGTTGTAGGTGATTCAGCTAAGAAGTCTGGATTTAATCTCCAAGGCAGGAGTGAGTCACTGGAGGGTTCTGAGCAAGGAAATAAGACGAAGAGGGCAGTGCCTTAGGGGGATAGCCTAGCGTTAGGGGGAATGGGAGAAAGACTGGAGGCCGGAAACCAGCGAGGGTCTGTTACGATGACTTAGGCATATCAGGACAGGGACCTAGAGCAGGGTAGGGGCAGTGAGAAAGGCAGAAGAAATGACAGATATCATGAACATAGAGCCAACTGGGCTTGATGGTTCAGTGGCTGGAGGACACCAAAGAAGGGAAAAGAGTTCAGAGAACACAAAAATCCAGGAGTGAGGAAAGAGCATGTTCAACTACAGCTGACACTGATGGATCATGTGGCCGGCACTGTGCTAAGTACTCTGCGTGAATTATCTCACAGTCCTCACCACAAAAAGGTAAAGCCGGTACTATCACTATCCATGTTTTACTGATGAGGAACCGGGGCTTAGAAAGGTTTAGTAATTTGTGTAAATTCACACAGAGAATGGGTGGGGCCTCTAGCATAAAACCACGCTAATCTGCTGCCTTAGCTCCCACTAGTCCCTAAACCAAGCCTCACTCTCCCTTACCCACCTCCTCACTGACCCTCACACACCCCATGCTCACTGCCATCCCCTAATCCATCCTGAAGTGCCTTCTGCCCACCCTTTCACATACTTAAATACAGATCAAGCCTCAACTCCTTCCAGAAATTTCTGTCACCACTTGAGATTCCAAGGACCTTCTCTCTCTACCACCTCCTATAAGATTTGTGGGAACCACAGAACCTCAGCAACCGGTTCCACATCTGCCTCTACTGACTTTCCCCATTCCTATGTTCACATACTTCCTGGCCCGGGGTCTTAGCACTGGAGCTAAATCTTAATCCCAGCCTAGCCCCTTCACTAGTTATGTAGTCTTGAGTGAGTTACTCAACCTTTTTAAGTATTTCTTTAACTGTCAGTTGGAGATGAAAGGTTTATTGTCAGGATTATATGAGAGAATGCCTAGCACCTAAAAGGCATTCAGTGAATGACATCTATCAATATTATTACTGTTGTTTTTATTAATAGGCCCATCCTGGGCAATGTTATGTCTAATGCTTTGGATGCAGTAGGTGCTCCATGAATATCCTTCTACTTGATTTCTTGCTCATTTCAATGGCTATGTACAATATTTCAGTATTCACTACCTTAAAATTCTTAACATTTGTTTCACCATACTTAATACAAATGCATGGGGTGAGGGATCTTGTCGTGACTTGCTTGAGACAGGGCATCTCCAAACCAGGGTCTGGAATTCCAGAAGCAGGCCAGGCAACCACAGCATAGAGTAAGACACGGTGAGCCACCTGCTCCTCCCAACCTGGACACAGGGGACTCTGCCCTGCTGACAGCTTGACTAGTCCCAGCAGGATCAGGGCCCTGCCCAAAACACTGCCCTCTCACCCCACTAGCCCTGCCTGAGTCTGCCCTGGAAAAGGACGTTGTGAAGAGAGGAAGGGATGCAGGTAGCACTCACAGTAGACGGTGGGGTCACATCCACCTTCAGTCCCCTGGCTCCTCCTCCTTAGTCCCACTACGTCTTCCCTCCCAAAGCTTTGCTTTGGTCACCTAGAAGGCCAGTATGGGGCCCCCTTGGCAGCTCAGAGCGCCTCCCCAACAAGACTGCTAATGGTTTCTTCTCCCATAGTTCCATCAAACTCAGATCCTACCAGCTGCCCCTAGAAAATGACAATTCACCATGAATATTAATGCCTGATAGCTTATTAAACAGTCAGAACAAAGAGGTGCACAGCCTTAACCACCCACCCCCCCAAAAAATGACCAATGTGGAAAAGAAATGAAGAGATACATTTTTTGTAAAGCAGAGGGGCTGGAATTTCAGTGTCAAGTATCTAAAGCAAATACCCTACCCTTGAATTTTTTATTCATTCATTCAGTTATACACATATACATACACAGATACATACATACATATATACATGCACACACATACTCTCACAAATTGCAGCAAGGGACTTCTGCGCTGGACAAACATGGAGATGGAGTTTTTTTATTGTTTTAAAGGATCAAGGTGAAAGCCTCTAGTAATGAAGGGCCCGGACAGACAGTGGAGGACCTGCAAGGAGCATATCAAGGACAGGTGCCAAGGGTGGCCTGGAAATCTTCCTGCAGCTGGTGACATGCATCTGACCCTTGGGAACAAGTACCAGGCTCAGCTTGGACTGGGTACTGTTCACATCCCTGCCCAGCAGAGACCCAGCAGGCATGGCTGCTGGGAGGGGGGAAGGAAAACGTGACAACACTTCCCAAGGCTCTGCAGGGTGTTGCTATCCAGCTGAAAGGGAGATGTGACCTTTGGAGAGGTGGCCTGAGGCCCTGTCTTTCCTCAAGTAGGGCAATGGGTGGGAGAAGCCTTAGTTCCCCCAGCAGCACCTTAACCCAACTGTTGAGGCTGCCCTCAGAGAAAGAACTAACTTGTTGATGGATCTGCCCCCATCAAAGTGTAGCCTGCAGTAGGGACAGGAAGGCAGTTTATCGGGCTCTGTGAATTGCCTCTCAATCCTTGGCCCTGGCAATTTACTTTCTTTTTCTTCTTAATGGGGATTCAAGGCCAAAAATACACACACACACATACACAAACACACACACACATATACACACAGGGAGGGTGGCAGGCGGAGTCAAACCCCAAAGCTCATCTCAGGCTTTAAAAATGCACAGGCTGTGCTTGGGGAAAATGTCATTGCTTGGCTGGGAGCAAGGGTGGCACTGGCAGGCAGGGAGAGGCAGAGAATAGGAACTGAATTTAGGAGTGACTGGAAGGTCGACAAGAAAGAAAAG